CACAGGCTCCTCCTTCGGTACATGCCAGGGAGCCTTCTCGCGCGGTGCCCTCGGGGATGCATCCCTGCCTCCCGCGCGGCCTCCAGTCGGCTTGGCGCTGGGCCCGCGCACGCGCGCCTTGGCTGCCGGCAACGAGGCGTCCGACTGCCGCCAGTGCTGCTTGCACTTCCAGCAGTGGCTGCTGGTCGCCTGGTTGGCCTCGCCGCAGATGCAGTGCCATTGGGGCATCCTCTGAGCGCTGTGGTGCTGGCGAAGCAATCTCTGCGCGGCCCACAGCCGCACAAGCACTCGCGCGGCTGCCCGCCTGCGGCGCTCTCTGCGGTGCCACGCGGGCTCTGGTGGGCGATTGTGATCCCAAAAGGAAAGCGTGGTCGGGTGCGGTTGCCGACACGCGTAAGGCAAAAGCTCCTGCGGGCCAGGCGGGCCCACTCAAGCCCAATGCCTTCTTCCTCCTCCTCCTCCTCCTCCTCCCCTGCTTCCCCATACGCACTCCAGCTGCACCCCTCCAGCTAGTGAGGTGAGGGGGAGGTCGCTGGCCGGCCGCCCGCGCATGAGCATCGGGGCCACCAGGCCCGGGGCTGGGTGAACATCCGCGTCTACCTTGCCTCCAGGCCGCTTAGCTCGGGTCGAAGTGGACGGGGTCGGTGGATCGCGTCGTATGCTGACGCATCGACGATCGATGCTGTGCGGTCCTATGACCCCATCTGCTCGGCCCTCACTTTGGGCGGCCTCCATTACCCCTCCCCTCCTCGTCCTCCCTCGTCGTCGTCCTATCTCAAGCTCCTCCGAGACGAGACTCGGGCAGCGTCCGAGGGGGGGATAAGCGCACACTGTGTGCTACCTCTGCCTGACGGTCCACCGAGATCGGGATTACGGGGAGGTCTATTGGCGGTATTGTTTGGACTTGGTTTTGCCCAAGGTCCATTTCCGATGCGGGCATTGGTTGCACACAAAGATTATGTCGGAACAAATGCCAACACATTCGCATACCAACCTCGCTTGTAACATCGTATCATGCCACGCTGAGGAGGAGGAGGAGGAGGAGGAGGAGGAGGAGAAGGAGGAGGAGGCGGGACATGAGGGGGAGGGTTGAGGGAGGGGGTGGAGGTGGAGAGGCGCGACGAGGAGGACGAGGCGAGGGGTGGTGGGAGGATGCGCGACGTGCGCAGTGCACGCCTGCCGACTCCGACCTCGCCCTCCGCCTCGGCGTGCCCAGCCCCCGCGTCCCCCCGGCGCCTGCGTTGAGCGCGCTGGCGCGAGGGGCGTGGGGCGCTGGCGCCGGATGCCGCTCCCGGGGTCGACCCCCCGCGCCTGCGCGATGCGCAGCGCACAGGGGGCCCACGTCGACGGCCTCCGATCCGTTGGATCGGAGGCCATCGAGCCGAGCCGAGCCGATCCGTCGGATCGGACCGATTCGAGCCGATTTCCATGGCCTCCGATTCCGAGCCGCCTCGCCTTCGGCTGCCGATCCGGATTCCGGTTTCTCAGGGGAGGCCTGCTGGCCTGCCGATCTCTGCCGACTCGACCGCTCCCGACTTGGCTGCCCATTTCCGCCGATGCGATCCGTTTCGATCGCCCATCCGACTCATCGCTCCGATTCTGGGCCCTCCAGGTGCGCCGCGCGGCGCACTGCGCAGCGCAGTCCGGTTCGCCTTGCGCACCGCACCACTGCGCGCTGCGCGCTGCGCACTCTGCACTGCGCAGCACTGCGCGCCGCGCACAGCGCTGCCCGGCACGCCTGGCCTGACCCGGCCCCCGCGCCAGGGTCGGGGCCGCCCTGGTGGCGCTGCTGCTCGCCGCATGGCTCCTGCTGGCGGCCCACGGCCCCCCGCCGAGCCTCGGGCCGCGGGGCGGCTTCCTCGGCCAGCGGCCTCCAGGAGCCTCTCCGGGGGGACCCCCGCCGTCGCGTCGTCGCCGCCGCCGCCGCCGCCGCCGCCGCCGCCGCCGCCGCCGCCGCCGCCGCCGCCGTCGTCGTCGTCGTCGTCGTCGTCGTCGTCGTCGTCGTCGTCGTCGTCGTCGTCGTCGTCGTCGTCGTCGTCGTCGTCGTCGTCGTCGTCGTCGTCGTCGTCTTCCTTTGGCGTCGTCGTCGTCTTCCTTTGTCGTCGTCGTCGTCTTTCGTTGTCGTCGTTTTCAGCTCGCTGAGGGGCAGCGACCGCGATTTGTGTTTCTGGGGCGACGGAGGAGGAGGCAATGCTCGCAGGGTACGAGCACACCTAAACAGCCCAATCGTCTGCAAGAGCAAACCTAAAGGTCCGAACTTGTCGCGAATGGGTGTCGTAAGGATTGTTATTGACGGATCAAGCGCGCTCGCTGAGCGTATTGGGATCTGGCCCCGGAAACAACGCTGCCCCCCAAGCGACCTCCAAGTCGTCGTCGTTGTCGTAGTCGCGTCGTCGTCGTCGTCGTGATCGTGTTGTCTTCGTCATTGTCGTGAACGTGGCCGTGGCCGTGGCCGTGGCCGTGGCCGTGGCCGTGGCCGTGGGCGTGGTCGTGGGCGTGGTCGTGGTCGTGGTCGTGGTCGTGGTCGTTGTCGCGGTCGTGGTCGTGGTCGTTGTCGTGGTCGTTGTCGCGATCGTTGTCGTGGTCGTGGTCGTGGTCGTGGTCTCCTCCTCCCCCTCCTCCCCCTCCTCCTCCTCCTCCTCCTCCTCCTCCTCCTCCTCCTCCTCTCCTCCTCCTCCTCCTCCTCCTCCTCCTCCCTCCTCCTCCTCCTCCTCCCTCCTCCTCCTCTCCTCCTCCTCCTCCTCCTCCTCCTCCTCCTCCTCCTCCTCCTCCTCTCCTCCTCCTCCTCCTCCTCCTCCTCCTCTCCTCCTCCTCCTCCTCCTCCTCCTCCTCCTCCTCCTCCTCCTCCCCTCCTCCTCCTCCTCCCCCCCCTCCCCCCCCCCCCGAGCCCCCCCCTTCCCCTCTCACTGCCCTCACTACCCTCCCTCTTGCCCCTCCCCCTCGTGCTCCTCCGCCCTCCTCGTGCCCCTCATCCCCCGTCGTGCGCCTCCTCCCTCCTCGTGCGCCCCCCTATCTGGAGGCGCAGGGCACGCGCCCGGCAGCCCCGACGGGGGCGCGGCCTGGAGCGTGGCGCTCGCCGCGCCGCCGGAGGGCGCCCCGAGGGGCTCCAGCTCTGCCGCTGGCGTCTGGGGGGACCCGCGCAGCCACGTGCGGGGCTCAGCTCTGCGCCCGGCGGCGCGAGGGAGGTAGAGGGGAGGAGGAGTCGGAGGAGGAGGAGGGAGAGGAGGAAGCGGAGGAGGGGGATGGGGGAGGAGGAGGGGGAGAACGAGATGACGGGGGCTACGGGATGGAGGAAGAGGAGGAGGAGGAGGAGGAGGAGGAGGAGGAGGAGGAGGAGGAGGTGGAGGAGGCGTCTGTCTTTCTGTCTCCTTCTCCTCCCTCCTGTGTATCTGTCTTTCTTTACGTGTTGTTTGTTTACCTCTACGCGTTAAAATACGTCTGCCGGTGACCAGTGGAGCGGTGCTCCAAGGGTCACCTGGCTTTAGGCTGTAGTTTGATCCCCCCCCAGGGACGATCGTCCCTGGGGGGGGCGGCAGTCGGAGACTTTCTACGCCATCAGGAGTCAGGAGTCAGGAGGCGGCGCAGTATCGGTCCGAGAGGGAGGCCTCCTGGCACCCCTTGGCGCAGGGCGCCCTCCCGAGGGCTCTGGCTGCCGCCTCCATCTTCCGCCCTTCCCCCTTCCCCGTCCCGTCCTCTTTTTTTGTTGCGCCGACTCCAGGTACGCGCCTGTAGCGTTCTTCCGAGAGAGAGACAGCAAGCGTTGCAATGCCGACCTGGGCGAAGTGCGCACCAGATTATGCGGGGCAAGCGTGAGGGTGAAACGGAACTGGGTGGGGAAGACAGAAATGAGAAGTAAGCCCAAGGCTCGGAGTATACGCTCGTCCCCCCTCCTCCTCCGCCTCCTCCTCCTCCTCCTTTTCTCCTCCTCCTCCTCCTCCTCCTCCTCTTCCTTGGGCCGGTCGGTCGGTCGTCTGACAAGTCGATGCCTATACTCAAGAAGATGGCGAGAACGAGCAGGATGGAGACGGCGGCGACGAGTACTCCCCATACCCCCCAAGGCCGCACCAGGGCAAAACCTCCAAGCCACAGCACCTTCCAAGAGGGGATAAGCAGGGAAAGACAGAAAGCGAGGGAGAGCAGGAGGCCGCAGGGGTGGTGCACGGGCAAGGCAACACTTAGCTTTAAGTCGGGCGTGTCCCCCTACAGGGGGATTTTCGAAAAATATGCGAAAAATACCAGCAAAAGGTAAACAACAACTCAACACGTAGTCCCCAAATTATTTTTGCAATATTTGTTGATTATTGTTTGGGTACTTTTTATTTTTTGTCGAAAAACCCCCTGTAGGGGGACAGGCCCGACTTAGCCTTAGCTGCAGGGAATCGGATCTACAGCAGACTATCCCATCCCACGAGTCGCTCTGGTCCATGGTTCGGTTGAGCCGCTGCCCCAGGACTGCACATAGTACGTTGACCCTATCAAAAACCGAGGCGGAAACGTTGGAATTGTTTTTGAGGGCATTTCGAATGAAGTGTGGTCTGGCACAACTGATGCTCGGCTTCCCAGATGCAGTGCTGCTTGAACAAACCAATTGTCAAATCCATCCAGTACGTCTGGAATAAAGTTGCATTCGCACACCCAGGCGAGACGGCAGTGGCAACTCCACAGGCTGCGATGTGATCAGCTCAGGATGCTCCAGCACCAACTGCTCTGGCGTCGGCATCTCGAGGTTGAGGACGCGCGCGGGGCGAATGTCCAGCACTCGACGGGCTGGCAGCCACAGAAGACTCTCCTCGGACACCGAGCTCGCCGCGCCGAGCGGACGACGGGCGGGTCCCGAGGCCCACCACGAGGAGGAGAAGGAGCCTGGCCTGGAGCAGGTGAGCCAACGCCTGTGCGAAGAGCAGCGCCCAGCGCCGTGCCAAGCCGGGAGGGGCGGCACCCGCGGTGCTCGAAGGCCGCGCACGCCCTGACCACTCGCCCGGGAAGTGGGCCTCCGAGCGATGGCTGGCGAGGGGAAGCGGGCAGCGGCGGAGCCTGGCCGGGGCCTCCTGGCGCAGGCCCGCAAGGCCCAGGGGGGGGGCCTGGCAGAGCCAGCGCTCCTCCTCCTCCTCGCTCCTCGCTCCTCGCTCCTCGCTCCTCGCTCCTCCTCCTCCTCCTCCTCCTCCTCCTCCTCCTCCTCCTCCTCCTCCTCCTCCTCCTCCTCCTCCCCCTCTTCTCTCCTCCCCTTTCCCTGCCCCCCTCCTCCCCCTCCTCCTCCTCCTCTCTCCTCCTCTCCTCCTCCTCCTCCTCCTCCTCCTCCTCGTTCCTCGTTCCTCGTTCCTCGTTCTCCTCCCCTCCTAGTTCGTTCCTCCTCCTCCTCCTCCTCCTCCTCCTCCTCCTCATCCTCCTCCCCCCTCCTCCTCCTCCTCCTCCTCCTCCCCCCGCCCCCGCTCCAGGTGCAGGCCGCCGGGGGCCGCGCCGTTGCCGTGGGCCCCCCGCTGCCGGCGCCGAGGCGGGCGCCCGCCCGGCAGGGGCCCGCGGCTGGAAGGCGGCCGGCCTCTGCCGGCGGGCCGGGCGGCAGCCGCGCGCCGCGCGGCGGCCCCGCGGAGGATCGACGACGACGGCGACGATCGACGGCGACGGCGGCGGCGACGGCGACGGCGACGACGGCGACGGCGACGACGGCGGCGGCGACGACGGCGACGACGGCGACGACGGCGACGGCGACGACTGCGACGACGGCGACGGCGACGACGGCGACGACGGCGACGACGGCGGCGACGACGGCGACGACGGCGACCACGGCGACGGCGACGACGGCGACGACGACGAGGCGGCGACGACGACGACGACGAGGCGGCGGCAGGGGCGGACATCCAGGCCTCCTAGATGGGGTTGGAGCAGATGGGGTCGGAGGATCGCGCCGCATCGCCGATGCATCGGCGGCGCGGCTGGATGTGGAGCTCGATTTGCTTCACGTCGACGTCGCCGACGTCGACGATGCATCGCCGATGTATCGGCGGTGCGGCGCGATCCTCCGACACCACCTACTCCGACCCCATTTGGGAGGCTTCCAGGATAGCCCAGGGGATTCTCAGGCATTCTTGGATTCCCAGTTCCCAATCTACTTCAGGCGCCTCCCTACTTCAAGGGTCGAGTGGCTTCCCCTCGTCCCTCCTCTTCAGGGGGCGGGTGGAAGCCTAATCTACGTCTAACGCCGTTCTCCCTCATTCGGAGGCGACGATAGGGTTGGATAGCCCAGGGGCGGGCACTACACGCATTCGCCCGGGAGCCTTGCCGAAGGCACGGGCCATCGGCGCCTTGGAGTACATGCATTGCTCTCGCCTGGACCATTCGCCTTCTCCCCCCGTCGCCCCGTCGCCCCCGAAGGATTCCGGGGCGCCGCTCTGGCTATCGGTCTCGGGCCATCCGTCCCGGGCGCGAGTTCTGGGCACGCGGGCGCGCTTCGATCTCTTCCTCGGCCCTCCGTTCTCCCCCCGTCTTGGCTCGCTCTCTCGCCGCTGCTTCCGTCCCCTCCATGGTCTGTGCGGCGCCTGGTGGCGTGCCCTGCCCTCCCGTTCGGAGGCTGATCGACCTCCCGCTTTGGCACGTCGATCGAGGAATTGGCCGTTTCCGGTTCGCGAGAGGGCGTCGCGGCCGTGATTTCTGCGGGTCCAGGTCCGTCGGTTTCGGTCCCAGGCCGTGTTCACTAAAAGGAGGTTTACTAAAGGGAGGTTTGCCCACCGCCGATCAGTGTGGAAGCTGGCAATTTTCATTACCACTGCATTGGTTCGTGGGAGCAGAATTCCGGCAGGTTCGCGCCGCGTTGACGTGGCGGCGATCCTGGCGTGGGCGTTTCAGCCTGGATTCGCCGCCAGGGACCAGAGGCCGAGCACTGGCCGACGTCGAGCAATCCGCGCAATCGGATGGCCAAGCTCTCTCAAGGCGGAACGACCCGCGCGGTGTCAGAAACCAGCACACAAGTCCCGGCGGCGATCGATGGGGGGGGGAAGTGAGAAGGAGAAGGTCTTCCCAGAGGGCAGCGGGACTTCTCGGAAGCCCCCCGCGCCCTCTGAGAGGTTTCCTGCGCCCTCGGGGCTCGGAAGGCCGGGGGACCTCCGAGCTTCCCCAGGAGGCCTTCTCCCTCGCAGTTCCCCCCTTTCGCTCGCCGCCGAGAAGTCGTCACGACACGGGCCTGGCGCACACCGACGAGGAGCCACAAAAACCAGCGGTGGGTGCTCGGATTTTGTTTTGTTGTCGCTTGCGGGCGCCGTGCCCGGCCGCCCCGGTTGCCCGCGGAGCTCGGGACGCCGGGCTGCCCACCGAAGCAAGCCTGCCTGTTTCCCGCCCCTTTCCTCGACCAAGGCGCGGGCAATTCCCTCCCCTCCTCCCCTCCATTTCCTCGACGAGGCCGCGGCGATTCCTCCCCCTCCTCCCCTCCCCTTCCGTTTCACGTGATTTCTTTCTGTGTCTCGCATGCAGGCCTCACCGTCGCCCGTCTTTCCCTCTGCCGCCAGCTGATTTGTGCCTTCCGATGCCCATACCGCCTGAGCGCGCGTGCGGACTGCCTCTGCCGCGCTGCGCCGTAAACATGCCTCACCATACACCATCGTGTTTCGCAAGCCACGGCCTCACTCACCTGGCACCAAGTAGGGCTGGACTGCTGTCCGCATCGGTGGTCGTTCGCTCGTTCACTCGTTCAAGCCAGCCGCGGGAATGTGATCCCGGGCGCCCAGGATACCAGGAACCCAGCCGCCCTCGGCCTGCAACTCTCGCCCAGTTTTCTGCCTCCTCTGTAACCTCTTCAGTGCAAACACTGAGTAGGGAAAACTGAATAAACATTGCTCTCGCAGGTCCGCATATCATTTTTTGTTCCCCAAAGGACTGGTCGGGATTCTTCGAAGAGAACGTCGCAGAGAACGCAGATGAGGATGGCGCCGCGGCAGTCCAGTACGCTCGACGCGCAGAGGCAGTCCGGGCAATTCCCAGTCCCGGACACTCTCCAGCCTGGGAGCCAGCTCCAGCTCCGGCTCCGCCTCCAGGCCACAGCGCCCGAGCCGATGACGGAGAGGTCGTTGCTGAGGACGGCACGGGGGCAGTCGCGAACGAGAGTGGCGTTGAGGACGTGGAGGACGCCTCGGCCTCCCCCCAGGAGAACGCCTCAGAGGTCGTTGCTGAGGACGGCACGGGGGCAGTCGCGAACGAGAGTGGCGTTGAGGACGTGGAGGACGCCTCGGCCTCCCCCCAGGAGAACGCCTCAGAGGTCGTTGCTGAGGACGGCACGGGGGCAGTCGCGAACGAGAGTGGCGTTGAGGACGTGGAGGACGCCTCGGCCTCCCCCCAGGAGAACGCCTCAGAGGTCGGTTGTGAGGACGGCACGGGGGCAGTCGCGAAACGAGAGTGGCGTTGAGGACGTGGAGGACGCCTCGGCCTCCCCCCAGGAGAACGCCTCAGAGGTCGTTGTCGAGGACGGCACGGAGGGCAGTCGCGAACGAGAGTGGCGTTGAGGACGTGGAGGACGCCTCGGCCTCCCCCCAGGAGAACGCCTCAGAGGTCGTTGCTGAGGACGGCACGGGGGCAGTCGCGAACGAGAGTGGCGTTGAGGACGTGGAGGGCCGCCTCGGCGCCTCCCCAAGGCGAAAGGACGAACGTCTCAGTCGTTGTCGAGGACGGCACGGGGGCCGTCGCGAACGAGAGTGGCCGTTGAGGACGTGGCAGGACGCATCGGGCCTCCCCCCGGAGAACGCCTCAGAGGTCGTTTCGAGACGGCAGGGGGCAGTCGCGAACCAGGTGGCGTGAGGACGTGGGGACGCCTCGCCTCCCCCCAGGAGAAACGTCAGAGGGTCGTTGCTGAGGACGCCGGGGGCACTCGCGACGAAGTGCGTTGGGACGTGGAGGACGCCTCGGCCTCCCACAGGAGAACGCTCAGAGTCGTTGTCGAGGACGCACGGGGGCAGTCGCGAACGAGAGTGGCGTTGAGGACGTGGAGGACGCCTCGGCCTCCCCCCAGGAGAACGCCTCAGAGGTCGTTGCAGAGGACGGCACGGGGGCAGTCGCGAACGAGAGTGGCGTTGAGGACGTGGAGGACGCCTCGGCCTCCCCCCAGGAGAACGCCTCAGAGGTCGTTGTAGAGGACGGCACGGGGGCAGTCGCGAACGAGAGTGGCGTTGAGGACGTGGAGGACGCCTCGGCCTCCCCCGAGGAGAACGCCTCAGAGGTCGTTGTCGAGGACGCCACAGAGGCCGTCGCGAACGAGAGTGGCGTTGAGGACGTGGAGAACGCCTCGGCCTCCCCCCAGGAGAACGCCTCAGAGGTCGTTGTCGAGGACGGCACAGAGGCAGTCGCGAACGAGAGTGGCGTTGAGGACGTGGAGGACACCTCGGCCTCCCCCGAGGAGAACGCCTCAGAGGTCGTTGTCGAGGACGGCACGGGGGCAGTCGCGAACGAGAGTGGCGTTGAGGATGAGAAGAACGCCTCGGCCTCCCCCGAGGAGAACGTCTCAGAGGTCGTTGTCGAGGACGGCACAGAGGCAGTCGCGAACGAGAGTGGCGTGAGGACGTGGAGGACACCTCGGCCTCCCCCGAGGAGAACGCCTCAGAGGTCGTTGTCGAGGACGGCACGGGGGCAGTCGCGAACGAGAGTGGCGTTGAGGATGAGAAGAACGCCTCGGCCTCCCCCGAGGAGAACGTCTCAGAGGTCGTTGTCGAGGACGGCACAGAGGCCGTCGCGAACGAGAGTGGCGTTGTGGACGTGGAGAACGCCTCGGCCTCCCCCCAGGAGAACGCCTCAGAGGTCGTTGTCGAGGACGGCACAGAGGCAGTCGCGAACGAGAGTGGCGTTGTGGACGTGGAGAACGCCTCGGCCTCCCCCGAGGAGAACGTCTCAGAGGTCGTTGTCGAGGACGGCACAGAGGCCGTCGCGAACGAGAGTGGCGTTGAGGACGTGGAGAACGCCTCGGCCTCCCCCCAGGAGAACGCCTCAGAGGTCGTTGTCGAGGACGGCACAGAGGCAGTCGCGAACGAGAGTGGCGTTGTGGACGTGGAGAACGCCTCGGCCTCCCCCCAGGAGAACGCCTCAGAGGTCGAGGACGGCACGGGGGCAGTCGCGAACGAGAGTGGCGTTGAGGACGAGAAGAACGCCTCGGCCTCCCCCGAGGAGAACGTCTCAGAGGTCGTTGTCGAGGACGGCACAGAGGCCGTCGCGAACGAGAGTGGCGTTGAGGACGTGGAGAACGCCTCGGCCTCCCCCCAGGAGAACGCCTCAGAGGTCGTTGTCGAGGACGGCACAGAGGCAGTCGCGAACGAGAGTGGCGTTGTGGACGTGGAGAACGCCTCGGCCTCCCCCCAGGAGAACGCCTCAGAGGTTGTTGTCGAGGACGGCACGGGGGCAGTCGCGAACGAGAGTGGCGTTGAGGACGAGAAGAACGCTTCGGCCTCCCCCGAGGAGAACGTCTCAGAGGTCGTTGTCGAGGACGGCACAGAGGCCGTCGCGAACGAGAGTGGCGTTGTGGACGTGGAGAACGCCTCGGCCTCCCCCCAGGAGAACGCCTCAGAGGTTGTTGTCGAGGACGGCACGGGGGCAGTCGCGAACGAGAGTGGCGTTGAGGACGAGAAGAACGCCTCGGCCTCCCCCGAGGAGAACGCTTCAGAGGTCGTTGTAGAGGACGGCACGGAGGTCGCGAACGAGAGTGGCGTTGAGGACGTGGAGAATTCCTCTGTGCCCCCCGAGGAGAACGCCTCAGAGGTCGTTGTCGAGGACGGAGCCGGGGTCGCGAACAATAGTGGCATTGAGGACGAGAAGAACGCCTCGGCCTCCCCCGAGGAGAACGCCTCAGAGGTCGTTGTGGAGGACGGAGCCGGCGTCGCGAACGGGAGTGGCGTTGTGGACGTGGAGAACGCGTCGGTGTCCCCCGAGGAGAACGCCTCAGAGGTCGTTGTCGAGGACGGCACGGGGGCAGTCGCGAACGAGAGTGGCGTTGAGGACGAGAAGAACGCCTCGGCCTCCCCCGAGGAGAACGCCTCAGAGGTCGTTGTAGAGGACGGTGCGGGGGTCGCGAACGAGAGTGGCGTTGAGGACGAGGGGAACGCCTCGGTGTCCTACGAGGAGAACGCCTCAGAGGTCGTTGTTGAGGACGGCGCGGGGGTCGCGAACGAGAGTGGCGTTGACGCGGCAGAGCAGCCTGCCCATGGCTCCTCAGCACTCAGGGCCTCCCATGCTTCCCCCTTGCGGGGCCTCGTAGTGAGGAGAGGAAGGAGGAGGACCAGAGTGAACCTAGGATGCATCGGCGATGCTACGATACGGTCGGACCGAGGCATGAGATCGAGGTCGGTTCG